CTGGAGAGCACAGACTGCCCTTCTGGGAACCTCAGTTTCCACATGTGTGAAATGGCAACATTAGGACACAACCTGGAAGACTGCGGGTATCAGAGTCCTTGAGATAATGAGATAGTGTGTGTGAGGGCTGTGTTAATATCAGTTGTGGTGGATGGTGGAACCTTCTGCAAGTCCACTACCAGCAACCCATACACACACACACACACACACACAGGGGGTTAGCAAAAGTAGGTTTACAGTTAGAATACAATAATAAATAATACAAGAAGAAACTTTCACATACTCACAACTGTAAACCTACTTTTAAATATATAATATATATAAATTATATATAAAAATATATATATAATTTCCCACAGTTCAAGTAAGAAGAGGCCCCTGCAGTGCACATAGTAGGTCCACAGCAGGCCAGTTGTGCTGAAAGGCTGCAGCCTGAATCTATGTTTCCAGCCAGCAACTTAACATTTCCCACAGTTCAGGTAAGAAGAGGCCCCTGCAGTGCACATAGTAGGTCCATAGCAGGCCAGTTGTGCTGAAAGGCTGCAGCCTGAATCTATGTTTCCAGCCAGCAACTTACCCTCCCCTGTGCCTCAGCTTCCCCCTCTGTGAAACTGGGTGATCCATGATAGTTCCTACCCCCTGGATTGTGGGTAAATCAATGACAGCTTGGGCAGAGGTTAGGACAGTGCCTGCACACAGTGGTTTCTTTAAAAAGCAACTGGTGGAATCAGACCTGTGTGTGGAAGGGTCCTGAGGGGGGTGCATAATTTAGCTCCTGGCATTTTGGAGCACAAATTAGCTCCTTTGTTAAAAAATTTTTAAAAAATGCACTTTCCTTAGAATTTGCTCTTGGCTTCTCTGTAACTGTCCCAGATACCGATGCACAGCAGTGTTGACAATTTGGAACCAGCCACCATGTGTCCACCTGTGGGGGGCCAGTTCAGCACTGCCAACGACGTGGGCACGGGCTGGAATACTGCGCAGCTCCACAGAAGAACGAGGGGCTCCTACATGGCCCAGGAGACAGCTGGGGAAAGTGAGGTCTGGACCAGACTCCTTCTCCCACTACACGCCAGGAACACCCCCAGTCGTGACGGTCACAAATGCCCCAGACATTGCCCATTGTCCCCTGGGGGCAGAACTATCCCTGGTTGAGATCTTCTGTTGTAGACTCAGCCAGAAGACTCAAGACCTCATTTGGGATTAAAAAAAAAAAAAAAGAATATACATGTATCCTTTATCGGATAAGATATAAATGTAACCTTTATAAGAATATACATGTGTCCTTTACAAGAATGTGTATCTGTTCTACCTGCAATTACTAAAACAAAGTTGGATGACTTTGGGCATCCCTGACTGGGGCCTGACCAGGGTAGGGGTGATGAGGAAGGTTCCGTTTTTACTTTTGTACTCTCCTTAGATGTTCATGAAAAAGTGAGTGGCATTCACAGAGTAGCTCCGGCGGGCGGGGAGAATAGGAGCCCGGTGGTAACACCCCAGCTGCCACACCCCGAGAACAGAGGACACAGCAGGGAGCCGGGCCTTGTGAATGCGGGGTCCTAACCATGCCACTCCTCCTTGGCCATGGAGTGGGAGTGTCCATTTTGCAGATGAGAAACTGAGGCTCTAGAAGGGAACATTCAGGTCCTCAGTCATGAGAAGCAAAGGTGGGACATGACACTAGGGCTGGCACCGTCACAGATATACACACACACATACAGACACATACAAACACACACAGCATACCACACAGTCACAGATTCACACAGACATACACAAACATGCCACACAGACAAGATTTTCACATACACAGACTCATATACAGATAAACAGATCCAACATGATACACACAGACACACATAGTCACAAACAGACACAACACATAGATTCACATAAGACAGTGCCACATAGACACACACACAGACACACACAAATTACATGCACACACACAGACCCACACAAGTGTACACACAAACACAACACACATACACTCTCCCATAATCACACACACCCAAACACAATGACACATGCTGACAAGCACACACACCTACAACAGAATCCAGTGTTCATACACAGGTACATGGACACACACACACACACACACACATGCACACAATGACACACAGCACCCCACATCCCTGTTCCTTCCTCCTGGCAGTCCCCACAGCAAGGTTCCTCTCGCTCCCACAAGTGCAGGTGCCTGTGAGCGCTTGTGTATTTGTGTCCCTCTGACAGTGTGGGTGTGTGTGGTTGTGTGTGCAGAGTTATGTACAGGTGTGACCGTGACCAGGCGCCTCGTAAGGATGCGTGGTGGGTGCGCGCTTGTGGAGGTGCACACGGGAATGTGTCCCCCTGGGCACCTGGGGACGAGTGGGGATGGGGTGAGTGCGGTGTAGGGCAGACCAGGTAAGTGTGACTGCGGAGGAGTGCGCTGGGAGAGGGCTGCGTCTGAGAGCAGCTGCTGCAGGGAAGGGTGAGGATGAAGTGGAAGGGCCTGAGGGTGGGGGAGCTGGTGGGAGCATGGAACCCTGAGCGCTGTGTATGGACCCCTTTTCCTCCTCCTTCCCAAACAGCCCTTCCAACATGAGATGAGGGTCTAAAGAAAAAAGCAGAGATTTGGCCTGACCTCCGGGTTTTCATATTTAGAAAGTTATATAGAGGCCCTGGGCAGGGGTCTCCCTGGAGGGTGGAAAACAACACTTGGACCCCCACCCACCCCTGCCTGGTCCCCTGGCAAGTGCAGAGAGGCAGGAGGGGGTGAGGGGGTCTACTTGGCCAAACCCTGAGACCGAACTAGCCCTTTCGCTTCTGTAACCAACCCTCCTCAGGACCTCCTCCACAGTAGAGGGGGGACCCCCACCACCCTGCTCCCCTCCCCAGTAAGCACAGCCCCTGGAGTGATTGTGTCCCTGAGCCACCTCGGCCTGAACCTCAAGCCCCGACCATCTAGGTCCAGGCCAGTTGGGGATCCCGAGGCAGGGGGAATTGGAGGGGGTGGGGTGCGGGTGAGGCCAGGTAGAGGAAGCACCCGCCCCCCGCCCAGCAGCCCCTGGTAGTTAAAAAGGAACTGGGGGGGCAGGGAGGAGAGTGTAGACGCATCCCCAAGATAGACACTCAGCGCCAATCACCTGCACAGAGAGACACCCACTGTCCCCTGGGATGTGGCCACACGACACTCACCGACAGCCCCCAGCTGTCACAAACACGGGGACACCCCGTAAGGTCACCCAGGGACATCGCTGCCCCCCGGGGGGCACACGGCGCAGCCACACAGCCCCATTCCACGGGGACACATGGCAAGTCGCCCAGTTACCCAAAGACACACGCACACTGTCCAGAGCCGACAACGCTCTACCACACGCAACACAACACACCCAGCCACGTGGATGCGCAGACACATAAAGAAGAGGACCCGACGCATGGGGACCCGGGGACCCACCGACCAGGACGGGACCACCTCGCCGCGCAGACCCGCGAACGCACCCCCGGATTCCCGTGCTGATCTGTTTGGGAGCAGCGGAGCCCCAAACGCACCCCTGGAGTGCGGATGCCACCGCCACCCGCGGACCAGACACCGGAACCCTCAAGTGCAGGCA